TGTTTTACTTGCCTAGCTGCCTTTGTATCAGTGTCCTTGTTACCAATTTGTTTCCCCTACAGTTGGATGTAGTCTAAGTTTACCTTCCTGGACTGTCCCGGAGATTTTTGAGTTAAGAAGTTGTTCTTACCAGGAACTGCAACATATGGACCAAGATGCTGAAGTTAGAGTTCATTCTCTACAGACTCACTGTGAAACATGCTCTCATTTGTCGAAAAGTCTAAGTCTGTGAGAAATGTTTGAGTTACTTGAGAGTTAATTTTAACCCTGTAACACAAGAAGGCTTGCTTCTGTCTTCACTCCAGCAATGAAGTATCTTTTGCTTTTATGTTGTCCAGCAGCAGAAAGTGCTCAGCACGCCTTAAACACACGAGAGAACACAAGAGATGATCAAGTAGCATTCACATTGTGAAGCTCATTGTCCTGATATCTTCACCTTTTCTATGAGATAATCTTAGCTGTCTGTAGCTCTGTAAGTGTGTGTGTGCTGAGTTTCATAGAGAGGAAAATTTGACTGTTCTGTCATGTTTAAAGGTCTCCTTTGACATTTATGTTTGAGCTTTAGGGTGTTGGGATTAGCAGTACAGTGTAATACCTGTGTCTGCTTGTCCAAATGTACTCACGTGTTCCTGTTAACAGTAGTTCTTTGCCGCGTGCACGTGACTATGTTTTGTCTCTCCGCGTTCACCGTTACATCACTCGGCTTGTACTCTTGAGTTTTTTCCCCCGCTGATCTGCAGCTTAGCATCTGTTTGCACATATCATCCCTCATCTTTAAAGTCTGGGTGTGGACAGAGGGAAGTGAACAAGCACCAGTGCCCAAGCACATCTCCGCCCTGCTCAGGTGGAACCTGGATTAGAGCCCAGAAGTGAGGATCCCGGGGACAAAGAGAATCTGAATCAGTGCTCTCTCATTCGACAATACACCCAAATCAAAAGTTGAAATCTGAGAACTGAGATGCACAGACTATTAATCAGCATCAAATCTGAAGTCTCTCCTTTGCTTTTCTTTCTTTTGCTATTATTTTCTAATTCCATAGATTTCCCATCATCCTTGCCTCTTTTCCTTTAAAAAAATATTTTAAAGATTTCATTGTGATTAGGAAAAATGCTCCAAATCACTTGCTGTGCTTCTATTTTTAGCTTCTTGTCTCTTTAGCCTCTTTGCCAAAGGTTCAATCTGAGCACCCTCCCTATTTTTTTTTTTTTTTTGTCTCCCCCCATTCCTACTTTCTCTTTCTCCCTTTTTTCTCCCTCTCTTGTTTCCCTCTCTGTTGCCCTCCTTCTGTCATTGTGATTAGACCAATAGAGGAGATCAGAGGGAATAAAAGCATGACCAGCACCAATGACCTTTCCCCTCCTTCTCTCTTTCTCTCTCCCTACTCTGTGCCAAGCTCACTTTCTCATTGTTGTAAAATTTCCTCTACTTTTTTTTCTCTACAATCACACAATGCAGCAGCAGCAGTTGTAGTACTTGTAGCAGGTGAAGTTGCCAATAGTATTCTTTGGTCTGTCCTTCTCTATTAATATTCTTTGCTAAAAATATTTATAAACTTTGTCTTCTAGAAAAAAATGCCTAATTCCAGGAATCTCTCTAGTTTTATACTCAAAGAAATTTTAAAGCCATTTGGATTGGAACTTTTGAGCGAACCTCAACCTTGATTATTGCTCTCACAGTCTGGGGTCATATGATCTAATACAGAAAACACATAAGCTCCACCCTGCAAACTTTCAAACCTCATCACAACATATCCTCATCCACATCTGTCCTCTTCATCTTCGTCAGATGTCAACTGACGTCTTTCTATCCGTCTCTCCTCTTCATGAGCAGTCAGTGAAATGTCAGCCAAGACCCTCGAGTTTGACCCTGGAGAGAGGTTCAAACAGCTGTTTCATATAGAGCATTTTTTCTTGGGTTCACACAGAAACAATCAAGACTGCAACACTTTATTTGAGCAGGTGACAAAATTTCAGGCATCATCAATAAATTCAGAGATCCATACGAGCACTCGCAGATTTCGTCTATCTCATCATCGGATCCATAAGCACGGATGGATGTGTTTGGGTTTTTTGAAGTTTACAGAGCCTCGTGTAGTTTAAGACTCATGGGTCAGCTTATAAAGGTTCTCTCTCTCTCTCGCTGTCTCTCTCTGGGTGGCCTATAAACTCCAAAAGAGCCGTGTGATGTTCCATAGATATCTCAGGAATGGAACCCAAAAGGTTAATCTGCAGTTCACTTGGAGTTTATAAGCTGCAAAATAGACATGTTCAGGTCTGTGATGACCGGGGAGTCTCTATCATCTGATGCATTGTTGTTCAGTGCCAACAAACTGACATGTAGTGAAGATTTTTTTAGTTTTTGGCCCTCTGAATAAAAAATAAACTTGCCTCTGAGGTCCACATCATTACAACTGAAAACCCTAACCCTTTATTTTGAAGAAAGGCAAACTGGACTTTTTGGGGAAAACTGAACAGTTTTTCATGAGCAAAAGTTATCTGTGTTCCTTGACAAGGCAATCTAGAAATAGAAAGTGACATATTCTTATTGGATGGGATTAGAGTAAGAGTTAAGGTTGGGGTCTTGACTGATGATGACCCAAAAAGTCAGACAGTTAAGGTCAAGAATAAAACTTTATGAGCTTTTCTGCAAATTTCTGCAGATACTACAACATATAAACCAAATTCATTTTTTACCATTAATATGTAACAGATATAATAAAATCAAAGTGTATGACTGAAGAGTTGAAGTTACACCTTTCTAGAAGGTAAATCTGCATCTGAACGTCTTTTCCTTCAGTATTTATAAGCAGTAAAAGATGTTTATCAGCGTTTCGTATTGCATGATCTTTGTTTCAGTTTTTGTAAGTTCATGTAGGATTCATATTCTTGAGCTTGAAATCCGTTCCAGTAGTGGATGTTCATATTACATATTACAAGTAATCCCTGTGACCTGAAAGGCTTTAGACTGCTCTGAATGATCAGTTTCAGACAGCTTTAAGACATCCTAGGCACACCAGCTACACCATCAGCCAATCAGAGGAAAGTTGTCTCAGGAGACAGGAGCTAAAACAGCTTGTTTCAGAGAGAGAATGGACTGCATCGAGGCACCGAGATAAGATAAAGAGGGATCAGTTTGAACTGTGAATCATGCAAAGCTACTCTAGGGCACTCCAAGAATAAAAATATGTCATTTAGAAATTTACACAAAAGGTCTACTTTAAAGTGAGATTGCTTGTTGAGGCCGCTGCTTGAACATTAAAATGAAACTTTATCTATTATAATTTAAAAAAATTTCCATAAGGACCGAATCTCATATAGAAAAGCTCCTGTAAATGCAGATCACCAGAGGAGTGTTTTAGAGCTTCAGTAGCCGAATGTCACGCACACTGAACCTGTGTTGAGTGCAGATAAATGAGAAAACACAAAAGTCATTTGGAAGAAGTCAATGCACACACATCAGACATCATTACTGTATGAACTCTGTGTGAGCATGCTGCTTCTCTTACTGGCTGAGTTATGCTGACATGTGCTTCTCTCTGCTGCTGTTTCAGAACCATGAACAGCACTTTTAGTTGCATGCTAGTTGTATGATAGTTCTTCTACTTAACCTGACCATGTGAGCTCTCAACTGATACCATCACTACCTAATACACATGATAAAAAATAATCATAATAATAATGAAAAATACCCAACAAATGTTATAAAAAATCGGCAAACTCCTCCCATCCTCAATCCCGAGAATCAGCACAACCCTAGCGTGCCGTCACATGGCGCAATAATAGTAATAATAACTGTTGAATCGGAAGTTTCTCTCACTGAAAGTGTTTCAGGCTTATTTGTACGCTGACATTAGATCAGATCTCAGATTGTAACTTGAATGCTGGTTTAATCTCTTAACCCCCAACGCCCCCAGATACGGGGGCAAAAGGCAGGAGATGGGTTAGACGTCGGGGCTTAAGAGGTTAAAGCTGGTTTGTATTACAGTTGCGGTCACGTTGGGTTACTTTCAGGTTTGAGGTCACAGAGAGTACAGTCTGGCCTTCTTTAATGCTCGGTGGCCATCAGAAAAAGGTTGTGTGAAGCTGTATCACACAGTGTCCTTGTCATGCTTTGAAAAAGCAGTCCACTCTGATTATGATGGGCTGTTAGTTATGGAGTATAATTAGTCATGCAAAACTGATAAATGCAGAGCCGCGCTTCTTTAAAAACATCGACCACACTTTGCATTTCATGTTGTGAGAACCTTTGAATCCTCCCAATTCAGCATAAATTCAGGAAGCTTTATGAGCCAAGCCTTTAACATGCCGATTGGTACGTTTTGTTATTTAAGCGAATAACAAAGTTGGATTACGATTAGATTCATCCATAAAGCTTTCATTTATTCACTAATACAGACTCTCTTATTTGCCAAATATGAAGCCTCGCCTCTGGCTGAGAAAGCAAACCGGTCACAATGACATTATGATGGCGCCCTGCAGGGTGAAGGGTTTCCCCATCACTGGTTCTGCAGTCTTGGTTCGGTTTTGGACTTGTCACAAGTGCAACAGTGCAACTGGATAATAAACACCATACAGAACGTGATGGCACACATTGTGTTTGGAGAATACATAAAAGAAATTCCTGCACTTCATCAATAAGCACCTCTGCCTTCTCTAAATCCACCTTAACAACTTTTGACCTTTTTAAAATTACATCAAATTTGTCAGTGTCTGGCAGCTGCAGCAGCAGCAGATATTGTCGGTGTGACTCATTGCGTTGTTTACTCATTGCGTTGCTGTGTTTGATTGTTGCCATATTTTTATCAAGGTGTTTGAAGTGGTGCTCTTGCAGCGGCGTGTTCAGTGTCATACTTTTATACCCCACAGTTCCACTAAAAGGAGGGAGAGGATGTCTCGCCCACTTTGGATAAACACCTGAAAGTTTGATCTGGAACAGCTATCGCATATCTCATGCATTTCCCAGAATTTCTTTCTAATTTGTCACCTTTTTATTTCTTCAGGGTGGCAAGTTTGATGAACCATGTGACGGCTTGGACTGCAGCAGAGGGTGCAGGTGCTTTCCAGAGAAAGGAAGCAGGGTGAGTATTTCACAAGTTTTCAACTGTGTACTCTCCTCTGGAGTTTGGGGAAATGCTTTCCATTTCATGTCCTCTTCACTTGTTTAAGTCCAATAACAACACCTGAGAAACTTGTTGAAAGACTTCAACTTGGTAGCAAAGTCTGTGTTGAACCCAGTTTCTCAGATAGTTGATGGATCTAAGAAGTTCTTAGTTCAGCTAAACTCTTATTAGTAGATATTTAAAATTTTATTATTAAAAACCTGCAACAAAGTAGTTTTAAAGTTGCTCATGTACATGTACATGTCTCTGTACTTTCCTTCTAGAGAAAGATGTATGTCTTTCTAAAATCGGTGGAATACGAACACATCAAAGTATCATCAGAAATTATAAGATGCCTAAGACAGCTCAGACTGTGTTAAAGAATAAAGGTGGTCACACCAAATATTGTCTTTCAAGCTTGTTAAAATTGTAGAGCCTGTGTTTTTTCCCTTTTCTCTACTGCATTTCTATATGTTTATGCATCCAAAATGAGGGCTGGCTGCAGACTCTGGCACAGTTTTACAAAAAGAAAAAAACAACTTCAAGTTTCACAGTTGTTCACTTGATGTTAGGAACTATTAAACACTCCTTTATTCATCTAGAGTCATCGTCGTTATCTTACTTAATCTTAATTTTGTTATCTGGCAGCTTTACAGTCACACAGAGGAGTTTATTGTACTGATAACTGCACTGATCCTCTTTGAAGTTTCAGTTAATTATGGTTTTTACTCTGAGGAAACAAGTACATTACCTTCATTTAATTAAGGAATAATTACCTCGAGGCTTCAGTTCCAGGCCTTATCTCTCTCCATCGTACAGCTACATACATTAACACCCAGAAACATTATCGCTATTTGACACGTATCAAAGCGACGCCTGTATCAGACTGTGTAATGCAAGCTCCGACAGTTCTCATCAATAGCTGTAAATGTGGTTTCTCCAGAAGACGAATCAACGAGTAAACACAAAACAGCATGTGGCTCCGGGCGAGGAACTTATTTTCTCATCACCGCTACCATGAAATTAACAATAACATCCAAACAAAGACTGGCAGAATATGATGGAATCAGCTCACTGATTAGTGGTGATGACACATACGCACAGTATATATCACCCGTCATCTGTTTGCACTTCAGTATCGAGCAAAAGAGCGGCTGACTCCTCTGATTTATGGCTGGAATTTAAGAGGAAACTTTTAAATGTCAGTGTGATCCTGCTGGTCTCTAATAAATTACTGTACGAGGTTTTAAAACAGCTTCAGCATCATCGGGCCAGACGGGCGAGTGCTGCAAACAAACACAAACTCTCTAAAACAACAGAAGGTGGCGATATTAATGCTTCCAATACAAACTGCTGCTTTATTAGCAAGATTTAAAAATGAGTAAATCACAGTTGCTACAGCAATAAAACATCAGCCATAGTTTTAAATGTTGCTTTTGAGTCAGAATCGACTGAGTGCCGGCGTTAAAAAAAAACAGTACACAAAGAGAGCGAAGTCATAAGATTAATGTAAGAAATGGGAGCCTGTTACATATATATTTCTGAGAGTTCTCATTTTATGAAACAGGGAATATTTAAATGAAGAGCACAAACTGATTTACTCATGTTTGCGACAGTTTTCTGCCAATTGTTTTTTTTTGTTTTGTTTTTTTTTTGTGGTTAACATTGAAATGAACTGCTTAGAAAACAGCAGAACCACGCCTATGAGCGCTGTTTGAGGATTACACACTATTTTACCCTGCTTTTTAAATCTTACACTCTTGTCACTGCTCTTTGAGCTTTACTTTGTTCCAAATCAGTAACTGAAAGTGCACTAGAACGAAGTGAAAGTGTCATTCTTTTAAACTTTTTTTTATTCCTCAGAAAAATCCTATTTATCCTTGGATTTTTCCCTCTCGGGCTACAAACTGGGTTGTTGATGGGTGAGGCCACCGGTATTACCCTTTAAATGAAGCATGAAAAAAACAGTCGATCTATCCATCCAAAAATCCATAAATCCATCCATCCATCCTCTTCTGCAGAGGTCGTCTCCAGGTACTCTTGCTTCCTCCCACAGCCCAAAGACATAGATGTAGTCGTGTTGGGTTAATCGGTGAGTCTAAATTGTCCACAGGTGTGAGTGTGAGTGCAAATCAGTGAGCATAATCCAAATATTAAATAGTGAAACGCAGCAAAAATCCTTTTAGTATAAATAAACAGGATTTGGTTGTTGCTGCTTATCTAAAATAGCCCTGTTTTTCTTATGTAAATCAGTGAATCGTGCTCTTCAATAAAACAGCAAATTATTATTAGATCATTTCCAAAATGAAATCCCTGCTTAGACGTCCTGACTAAAGCCAGACTAACTGTGAGCTCGGTCTCTTTCAGCCTTTATCCAAACAGCAATTACTGTCTGACACAGCAGCCCTACACTTACTGCCTGCTAACTGTACACCACTTTAGGTAAATAACATGGTGACGAGTGTCGCCTTACCCGTAGGTAAATGTAGGTAAATGATACAGCTCAGGTAATGCCACCTACCTCTGCTCAGCCCCTCTGATAAGCCTAAATGACACAGCCGCTGTGTCTTTAACTGTTACTGTTGGGAGCCGTTTGAGTGGGAAGGTGCTCATTTGTCTCTTTTCAGTTTTACTTTTGTAGTTAGAGCTCAGAGAGCTCAGGCATGCTCCCGATAACGGCCGTTAACGGACGCCCGACTGGGTTCTGTCAGCTGAAGCGTTGAACACAAAGCGAGGTTTAAAGGAGACTCGAGTTATGCCACAAAGGAAAGTTTTTAAATCTCTGTTTCTAAACTTAAAGCAAACCAGTGCTCACAGACCTAAACATTAGCTGTTTGCTTTCAAGGTTGTTTCTCTATAAAGGAATTAAGGGAGCATATTTATGTTTTTGCCTTCAGTGAATGTTATTTATGTATGTACATGTATACAGTGTCTAACAAATGATTAGACCACTAACTAAACGCAATGTTTATGTGACAGCTGCCCTAAATTAACTGTACTAGTAATCGATTTTGAATGTTTCTGTAATGGTTAATCGAGGAATATGTGCAACATCCACAATTAAAATTGTGTTTTTAATGTAAAATATAATTATTATTATTGTAGCCACGAATTGTTTAAATTCAATTAAAGCACAAAAAGTTTGGGAGCCGTTGGGTTAGAAATGACAGATGAATTCCTTCAGGTTTCATTAATGGTCCAGAAAAATAAAAACAACAAAAAATACTGTTGAATGTTGAAAGTCAAGTACAACAGAAAAATAGATAAACTGGATTACTTAATTATTGGTGATCAGTAAGTTGTTTTTAAAGTTCACATTAGACCAATAAAATATAAAGAAATGAGGGCTGGCTCAAGACTTTTGCACAGAACTGTGACTCAGTTTTGAGTTTAAGTACACTCCCGCCTCAGTGGGACTCTAAAAACAGTATCCCAGCATCGATCGTCGTCACGCTCATACATGATGTAAACATTCAGACAAGTAAAAAGATATTCAATATTTCACAGATCATTATCTTTAATTGGGTTTTAAGATCTTTCCCGATATTAAAGACGAGTGGAAGTTCTGCTATCTTGCATCTGCAGCCTCGCAGGCCCCCTAAATCCTCCTGAAGACATCTCTAATGCTCTTTACCTTGTAAATCCCACTTTAATGGCTTCTCCCCGAGTTCCTGTCACAGCCCTGCCTCTCCAGACACACAGCAGTGAGATGTTTCTACAGTCTGTCAAATATCTTCCTCTGATTTCCTCTTGATAAGTTTGCTTTGGACGAGAAACAGTCAGCCGGCGCTGTCAGGATTTCAGCCGGACGTGAATTGCGTTTATCATCCCGGAGCTGTTTCTGCTGGAAACTTTGTCAGCTTTTATTAACATAGTAAAAAATGGATGTGCTGATATGAATCAAAGATAGTTGAGGGTAACTGACAACGTTTAAATGTTGTCGCGTATGTTTTGTGCAGATGTGCTCTTGAACCCTTAAGGGGAACTTTTATGTTTTTCTTAAATTTCCTATCTGGACACAAGGACGTCTAAGAACCGGAACAAATGAGGGGGTTTATCAGGAGTTCATCTCACAAAGAAAAAGCAGCACTCTCTATTTATCAGATACTTTGATAGTGGAGAAAAAGCACAACATACCACGAACCATCACTCTTCCATGCATCGATCTCTTATCAGTTGCTCTTTAAGCTGCCTTAGTTTGCCCACAGCTGCTGCACATCAGCACGCTGCATCTGATGTAGTGTTAGCTTACAGCACCTCATTGAATCCACATACATCCCACCTACACCATAGCGGCATAGTGATGTCCACGTTTGCAATGTTACTGCTGGTGTCGCTACATTGATCCGCCTTCACGAGCAGAGCTGAGCTGTTTATGTTGGACTGGAGTTAATAACTCTTGGTCAGTTACTTAAAAAAGAAAAAGATTTCGGAAGAGACTAGACGTGCGGTAATAGACACATCGGCCGATCGACCACCAGAGGAGGATATTTTATTTGAAGCCAACATGAGAAGAATCATGGGAAAACATTTAAAGAGACATCAAAAACACATTTACATGTAAATACATATCAGTCACCAAGCTTAATTGTTTCCAGCGTAGAAGGAGCCTGGGAGGTACTTCATACCTTCTTTGTATTACCTCCCCCTGCTGATACTGTAACTTGAGCATGCATGTCCGTTTCACGCTTTGGAGAGGCAAAGCTTGACATCTACACGGTGGTGGACCAGCGTCTATTACACGCTGTGCCGTGATACTGGGTTGGACTGAGTTGCATTTGTGCAAACTAGATACAATTCATTACAATACAGTTATACTTGTGCTAATAAATGGACTGTAAACATACCGTACAGTGTTTATATTACTAACAAGCAGAAACATGACAGCGGTTAAATTACATCCTCTAACCCATTGTATTTTAAAGTGTGACATATGTGACACAGCATATGAAAACCAGGCCAAAAGGACAAGTTTTCAG